CCCCCTCCCCCTCCCCCTCCCCCTCCCCCTCCTCCCGACAGCACGACCCCCGGCGAGTCAATGAGGCGCACGAGTTTGTCGAGCTGCACCTCCTGCAGCGCGCGGGTCACTCCCGCGGTGGCGCCCGCCTTGGCCACGCGCGCGCGCTTCAACGAGTTGATGACACTGCTCTTGCCCACGTTGGGGAGGCCCACCACGCCCACCCTGATGGCCGTCTTGATCTGCACGGAGGGGGTGGGGGGAGGGGAAAAAGGGGGAGGCGAGGGGAGGGGGAGGGGAACGGTGAGGGGCAAGCAGCAGGGGCTTGCACTCACTCTCTCCGCTTCTGAAACAACCCCCTTTCCATCCCCATGCCTCCCGCTCGCCCATGCACCCATACAGCCACGCGTCCCCTACGCCCTCCCCCTCCCCTCCCCCCAATCCCCCCCCCTCACATCCTTGTTGCGGCAGTAGTTCTTGAGCAGCTGGATGAGCGTGTCCGCGCCCATGCACCCCTGCGCCTATGTGCCCTTCCCCCTCCCCCCCTCCCATGCGCCCCTACCACCCCCCCTCTCCCCCCCATACGCCCCTACGTCCCCCGCGCCCCTGCCCCCCCCCCTCCCTCACGTCTTTGTTGCGGCAGTAGTTCTTGAGCAGCTGGACGAGCGTGTCTGCGCCCAAGCAACCTCCATTCCTTCCCATGCACCCATGCGCCCATGCTCCCCTACCTTCCCCCCATTCCCCCTTCCCCTCCCCCTAACTCACGTCTTTGTTGCGGCAGTAGTTCTTGAGCAGCTGAATCAGCGTGTCCGCGCCGAAGCACTCGCTGCCCTCCGCGCCCGCCGCGCCGCCCGCCTCCTCCCCCTCGCCCTCCCCCCGCGGCAGCAGCGGCTGCGGCGCAGCGGCCTTGTTGGGGTCGGCGCGGGAGGGGCGGGAGGCGCGCGCGAGGTGGGTGCGCTGCGCCTGCGTGGAGGCCTTGAAGGCCACCGCGGGGAGCTCGCGGCGGAAATACGCCAGCCAGCGCTGCACCACGTCCCGCGGTACTAAGTCTGGGGGGGAGGGGGGATGGGGAGGTGCGGCGAGGAGGCGTGAGGAAGGGGGGCGGGTGTGTGTGTGCGTGTTTGCTTGTGGTTGGAAGTTCAGAGTGAGGGTGAGAGAGACGGCAGGGGGGAAGTGAGGGAGGCGGGTGCGACTGATCGATCTTGTTGAGCAGCAGCACGACGCGCTTGTGAGACAAGGCAGAGGGGAAGGCAGGGGGAACGAGTGCGCGCACACACCGATCTTGTTAAGGAGAAGGACGATGCGCTTGTGTGCGCCGCTGCGCGCCACCATGTCCTCCAGCTGGCGGCAGCGGCCGCCCAGCGGGTCGCGCGCGTCGAGCACGAGCAGCACCACGTCCGCCGCCTCCACCACCGCGCGCAGCTCCCGCATAAACGCGCGCTGCGCTCCCCCTGCGCGCGCACGTGGGGAGGAGGGGAGAGAAGGGGGGTTGTGGGGGAAAAAGGGAAGAGGGAAAGGAAGACAATTGGGTTGAAAAAGGAAGGTTGAGGGGAGGGAAAGGAGGGGAAGAGGAGGGACGGCGGATGCTGCAAGGAGCACGAATGCAGCGGATACGCGCCGAACGTTCTGCATGCTTCCTCGGTCGGGTTTCGGGTTTAGGATCTCCTAACCCCTTCAGCCTAATCAGGACTCGGGCTTAGTAAAGTTTGCCCCCTTCGCATTGCCTCCCGCGCACCCACCTTTTCCCTTGCCCGCTTGCCGCTCCTCCGCCTCCTCCCGCTCCCTCTTCCGCTTCTCAAACTCCGCGCCCCTCTCCATCGCCCCCCGCACCATCCCCGCCATCGCCGCCCCGCTCGTCACGCGCCCGTTCCCCTCCCCGTCCTCCTCCCCTCGCCCCCCATCTCCGCGTCTTCCTCATCCTCCTCGCCTTCTGCGCCCGGCAGCGGCCCCTCCTCCGGCAGCCCCGCGCGGCGCCGCCTCGCCTGATGGGGGGAGGAAGGAGGGGAGGATTGGGAAGAAAAGAGATTCGAGGGGCAAGAGAGGGGAAAAGGTTTGGGGCTTTAAAAACATCAGCCGCGCGAGGGGTGGCGGACGATAGGGGTAGCGTGGGGTGCGCGCTCGCGTGCTTGGGGGGAGACGGAAGAACCGGGGGAAGGGGGGAGAATGCGTTTCATGCGCAGAAAATGCGCCAAATCACTTTCACTGCGCCCACAGTCCCGTCCTTTCGCCCCTGGCTCTCTCTCCCCCTCGCGCACCCAATCCCCCTTTCCCCCCGCGCGCACCCGCTCCTTCTTCTCCGCCTTCTTCGCCTCGCGCTCCTCCAGCGCGCGCTGCCGCCGCGCCTCGAGCGCCGCGAGCTCCTCTTCGCGGAACGGCCAGTCGTTGGGGATGCCCGGGTCCTTCTCCACGCGCCGCCGCGGCGCGACGCCGTCGCGGCGCGCCTTCTTGGCTTCCTTAAGCTTCTTCTTGGCGTGCTCTTTGACCTTGCGGATGACTTTGTACTTCTGGCGCAGCGTCACGCGCTTGCTCTTGCTCTCTGCGCGCGCGCAACGGGCGCGCGGTGTGGCGGGGGAAGAGAGTGGGGGGGTCGGAACGAGAAGGGCGGGGTGGGGTAGGTCAGTCGGGAGGCGCGCGAGAATCGTGAGGGAATGAGGAGAGATGTCTTGCTTAGAACGAGGGTGGGGTACTTTTATGTGAAGAGGCACGACGTGACCACGCACAACAAGCACCGCAATCGCGCCGCTAGCCTCAGGCCGCTAGCCTCAAGCCGCTTGCCTCAAGCCGCTGATTCTCGGACGATCAACATGAACTCACTCTTGCTTCGTTTCACCATGCTTGCTGCTGATTGGCCTGATCGCGCCGCTTTAAGGTGGTAACGCGACGGGAATCAAACGAATGCGGCTGGAATTAACGCGGCGGAAGAAAGGGCCTGGAGGAAAGCGCGGTGATGAAAGCGAGAGTGGTGGCGCGAAGGGGACTGACGCGAAACGAAAGCGAAAGGAGAGAAATGTGTGTGTGGGGTCTTACCAGGTCTTTGAAGGGATTTTTCAGGGGGTCGGGGTTTGGGTTCCGCAACTTCCCGCGACATGAGCGACGGTAACCCTAATCTCGTCCAGCGTTTTTGTTTGGGTCACCTTCCAAGGATAGGCGTTGAATGCGGTGGAGTACGAATTGTTACGCGGAAAATGGGTTCATTTACAACTAAGATCGTTAGGGTGGGATTCTGAACTTTAACAAACTTCAGTAGCTTTTCAAGTCACAACAGAGCTCTTTCTAGCGTCCCTTCCCACAATTTTTTTTTCCTGCCCAGATAAGTTGCTAGTTGCGTGCCGTGTGCCCGCCACGTGCGCGCACCTTCCAAACACGACGTAACGTTCACCGCCAAAATCTTTCGCTCGTCACTTGCGAAGCGTCGTAGGTTGCAATGACCTCACTCGTATCGTTGCCCGTGCGCCGATTCCTCCGCTCCTCGCCTTTAGATCAGCTCGCGCCGCGGTCCTATAAAAACTCGTCGTCACCCTCTTCGATGGCAACAACGGATCGCGCCAGCCTAAGCAGCGGCTCGTCGCTCATTGGCCAGCCGCTCGGCATAGGTACGCGCGAAGCGACGGTTTAGACGAAAGATTCATTTGCAAGGTACCAGCCGCTCCGTCTCGCCCTCCGCTCCCCCACCGGCCGCGGCGCCGCGCCCTCATGCCCTGATTCATCCGCCAATGCGCCGCATTCCCGCTTTCACTCGCACCTCCCCTCCGCGCCTTCCCCTTCCGCCAGCAACGGGCTCCCCCAGCCGCTCTCTCAGCGCCGAGCGCGCGCCAGTCGCTTCGCGCCACGGGCAGGCGTCGCCCGCGCGGGCGCGCGCCGTGCAACAGTCGCAGTCGGACAGTGAAGGAGGCACGAATGGGAACGGGACAGGTGTCCCGCTGCGAGTGGCGTACCAGGTGAGCGCGCCGCGACAACACGGCTGCGCACCCACGTCTCCGCGACCGCCGCACGCCCCCTCCTTATCCCCCGGTCGGTCGACTCCGCACACCCCCCTCCCCAGCCCCGCCCTGCGCCCGCCACCTCCCTCCGCGCACCCTCTACGGAGCGCGCTTCCCTTTCTTTCCCCCCCTCCGCCCTCCCTCCGCCATCTCCTTCAATCCCCCTTCCCCCTCTCTCCCTCTCCCCATCCCCCAGGGCGTGCCGGGCGCGTACAGCGAGATGGCGGCGATGCGCGCGTACCCCGGGTGCTCCCCCGTGCCCTGCGACCAGTTCGACGACGCCTTCACTGTAAGCCCTTCCGCCCCCCATGCGCCCCGCATGCGCGCACCCCGCGCAGAGCCGCCTCACCGCCACCCCATTCCTTGTCACCCTTACCCCCTACTCTACCTCTTCCCCCCCTTACCCACCTCTTCTCCCCCGTTACCCACCTCTTTCCCCCTCCCCACTCCCCGTCCCCTGCCCCGCGCGCGCGTGCGCCCCCAGGCGGTGGAGCAGTGGCTGGTGGGACGCGCAGTGCTGCCGATAGAGAACAGTCTGGGGGGCTCCATCCACCGCAACTACGACCTGCTGCTGCGGCACCGCCTGCACATCGTGGGCGAGGTGCACCTGCCCGTGCACCACTGCCTGCTCGCCCTGCCCGGCACACAGCCCACACAGCTAACTCGCGTGCTCTCGCACCCTCAGGTAAGTGCAAGCAGGATTGGGATGGCTTGCTGGCTTGCTGGGTTGCTGTTGCAGCGCCACCGCCTGCACATCGTGTGGTGGGCGAGGTGCACGTGCCAGTCCACCACTGTCTCCTCGTGGCTTTCATAGGCTTCACCACTCCCACGTCCTCTCTTCCTTCCCCTCTCCCTCTTTGTCTCCACCTCCCTCTCTCTCTCTCCCTCTCTCTCTCTCTCTCTCTCTCTCTCTCTCTCCACCTCCCTCTCTCCCTCTCCCCCTCGTCCTCTCTCGCACTGCGCCTGCATCAAGCTTCCCCTTCCCCACTTACCTCCCTCTCCCCACCCATCTCCCCCTCTTCCCCGGAGCACAGGCGTTGGCGCAGTGCGAGGCGACGCTGAATCGCCTGGGAGTGGTGCAGGAGGCTGTGTATGACACGGCTGGGGCCGCGCAGGTCAGTTGCGCTGCTGGGCGGGCTGTGGGCCATGTGGGTCGGGAAGGTGGGTGGGCAGGTTGGGTTCCTAAGAGTGATGCACGAGGCCGTCTATGACACCTGGGGGGCCGCGCAGGTGGGTGCTGGGAGGGTAGGAAGGCGGGGGCTGCTGGGGGCCGCTCAGGTGCGTGCTGCTGGGGCGGGCAGGTCAGGTGGGCAAGTGGGTTGTGAGTTGTGTCGCAAAGTGAGGCGGGAAGAAAAGTTGTTGCAAGTTCGCCTCTGCGGTCCGCTGAACCATTGCACTCTGCTCTACTCACTCCACCGCCATGCCTTTGTGCCGCCCAATGCTGTTCTGCCATGTGGCAGATGGTGGCGAATCAGAAGATGGGGGCCGTGGGAGCAGTGGCGAGCACGCGGGCGGCGGAGATCTACGGCCTTGAGATACTGGCGGAGGGCATTCAGGTGGGCCGGTAGAGGGGCGGAGGGCATTCAGGTGGGCCGGTAGAGGGGCTGCGGATGCCAGTGTCTCTCACTTGCGTCTCTTTTCCTCTCCTCCTCCTTCCTTCTTCTCCATCTCTCGTTTCTATGCATATCCCTCGTTTTCCGTCCCTTCCCTCCCCATTTTCCAATTCCCCCTTGCCCCTCTCTCCCTCCGCTCAATCAGGACGAGGCGGACAACTTCACGCGCTTCCTGGCGCTCGCCAGGGATCCCGTGCTGCCCTCCACCCACCGCCCCTTCAAGGTGCCTCTTCTGCCACCTCCCCGCCCCTGCTTCCTCCCTCTCGTTCCTCGCTTCCCGTGCCACCATACTTGCCTCTCGCCATACTTGCCTCTCGCCATACTTGCCTCTCGCTATACCTGCCTCTCGCCATACCTGCCTCTCGCCATACCTGCCTCTCGCCATACCTGCCTCTCGCCATACCTGCCTCTCGCCATACCTGCCTCTCGCCATACCTGCCTCTCGCCATACCTGCCGGCCTGCACCATCGCTGCTCCTTCGCCCCTCACCACTCAATCCCAGCACTTCCTGCACCTTCCATATGCACCCCCCCCCCCCCCAATTGTCCACCAGAAGAGCATAGTGTTCGCATTGGAGAAGGGCGCGGGCGTGCTGTTCCTGCGTGTGACCATGCGTACGTGCATCACTCACCGCGAGGTCGCGCCTCACCACCTTCCATCCTTGCACGCCCTGCACCTCCCCTCTACCCCGCCCCCCTCCCCCCCACCACGCCCGCCAGACGAGCATAGTGTTCACGTTGGAGAAGGGCGCAGGCGTGCTCTTCAAGGCGCTCTCAGTCTTCGCCCTCCGAGACATCAACCTTACCAAGGTCTCCGCCCCCCCAAACCTCCCCACACCTCACCACTCTGCACCGCACCGCCCCGCACCGCACAGCACTGCTCTGCACTTGTCTGCTGTTTCCTGCTTTACTGGCTGGACCTCGGTGTGTGGCTTGTGCGTTCATGTTCATAGTGCTCCTACTTATGCTGCTTGTGTGTGCCGCCATGTGTCCATGTGCATGCTTGTTTGCTTGTGCGCGCGCGCGCGCGCGCGCGCGTGTGTGTGTGTGTGTGTGTGTGTGTGTGTGTGTGTGTGTGTGTGTGCATGTGCGCGCGCACGTGCATGTGCTCATTTGCGCGTATCTATGTGTGTGTGACCATGCATGCATGCGCATGGTCACAGATAGAGTCGAGGCCGCACAGGGACAAGCCGCTCTATGTGGACTGGTTGGACCGCTCGTCCCTGGCTGCACCTGCCATGCCTCTCGCAGACACCCCTGCCTCCGCCTCTCAAGAGTCAGTTCTCCTCCCCTCACCTCTCTCCTTCCTCCTTGTTCTCTTCCCCACCTTGAACCCGCTCATCACCTTCTCTTGCCGTCCACATCCCTCCCACGACTCACTTGTTCTGATTCACCTCTGCACATACGACCTCACTCACTCACTCACTCACTCACTCACTTTCTCCCTTACACACTCACTCACTTTCTCCTTTACTCACACACTCGCTCACTCATGCTTTTGCTCCTCCGTCTCCCCACCACCGCCCCCCATGTTGCAGTGCCATGGCGTACCAGTCGTTTGACTACCTCTTCTACATTGACTTCCAGGCATCCCTTGCGGAGCCGCGCGTTCAGAACGCCATGCGCCACCTGCAGGTCCCTGCCCCTCCCTGCCTCTCCCTGCCCCTCCCTGCCCCTCCCTGCCTTTCCTCTCGCCTCTCCCTTCCCTCTCTCCTCCCCACGCTATCCCTCTTTCCCTACCCTCCCTCTGGTCATTCCCTCGTCTCATTCACACACTCCCCTTCCCCCCTCCTCACATCACTGCACTCACACCCCACATGTGTGCCCCGCCCACCACCACCCGTGCCACCAGGAGATGGCGCCATTCCTGCGAGTGCTGGGCAGCTACCCCATGGACGTCAACCCCATGGAGGCCCCTTCCTCCGCGCCCTCTGCGCCTGCTAGCCTCTGACCAACCTCGTGCTGCCACAGCTCACACCTGCCTGCACACGCCCACTGCGCATGCTGCCATGCTGGCATGACAGTGCTGCCAATGCCAAGTGCATGCTTGTACAACCCCCACTCACACATGCCTGTTAGGCATACCGTACTCCTGTGCCACTGTGCTGTATGGCAAGGCCGCAACTTGCATCAACATGGCTCTCTGCTAAACTACGTCTTTAGGAGGCATATGTGATAATAAAAGTGTAGCAGTAACAGGCCATGCCCCTGTTCTCTTTGCATCCGCATTGCACGCACAGCTACAAGGCAATACAGTGCCACTTTCTTTCACATGCACATAGCTAGCCAAGGGAAGAAGAGAGAGCAGAGCATGCAGCATGTTACATGTAACAGGGGACTGTCCGGCCATGGGCTGAGTGTACACAGAGGGAGGGCAAGCAGGCTTGAGCCTTGAGCAGCAGGGGCGGGAGTGCAGTCAAGCCGCAGGGCGGTGTGGTGGGAGTGGGGGAGTGCAGGGGCGGTCAGAAGGCGCAGCAGCCGTGGCGGCAGCAGGTGGAGGGGTAGCGGCAGCAGTGGGGCTGTCCACGCTGGTTCCTGCAGCACGCGCCGGGGCGGCGCTCGCAGCACACCTTGCCGCCACAGCAGGGGTAGTGGTGGTCGTCCTGGAGGTGCCCATGGGGGGAGGAGAAGGGTGGGGGAAGAGGAGAGGGAGGTGATGATGCATACATGTGTGAGGTAGTGGGAGCATGGACAGCATTCAATCGGGCAAGTAATCATAGGCGTGCGCTCTGAACATGTGTGTGTGGAGGGGGCGGAGGGAGGGGGAGGGGAGGGAGGGGGAGGGGGGGAGGGTGTGCGCGTGCATGCGTTAGTTCGTGTGCGTGTGTGTGCGCGGGGAGCAAGCGAAGGGGGGGAGCACGGTGGAAGCGAAGGGGTGGAGCACGGTGGAAGCGAAGGGGTGGAGCACGGTGGAAGCGAAGGGGTGGAGCACGGTGGAAGCGAAGGGGGGGAGCGGGGGTGAGCAGCGCTTACGATGCAGCAGGAGCCGTTGCAGAAGATGCGCGCGGGGCTGCACCCCGCCGTCCCCGCGAACTCGCAATGCCCCGCGCCAGGCGGGCACGTCAGCGACGGGAAGAGGGAGGACGGCGGGGAGACGGCGGGGCCGGACGGGGTGGTGGGGCGCGGGGAGGGCGCGGACGGCGACGAGGACACCCCGGATCCGTCGTGGTCGCGCGAATGGTCGTCGCCATCGTCACCATCGTCGCCATCGTCGCCACCATCGTCACCGTCATGGTCGTCGTGCGACGAGTCGCCATGCACCTCGTCCTCCCCCTCCGCGCTCCAATGCGCGCGCAACTTTCCCTGCGAGCGCAGCCGATCCGTGCTTCCGCCGTCATCGCTGCTCTCCTCCCGCTCGTCCTCCTCCTCCAGCGCTCGCCCGCGCGCGACGGGCAGGGATGCGCGGGAGAGGGCGGGGCGGAAGAGGGCGGCGGCGAGGAGCGCGCAGAGCGCGAGCCCGGCGAGCGACAGGCGCCGCGCGGTGAGTGGCGAAACGTGAAGAGTCGCCATGGGGGAGAGCGGACGCGCGGCGGGCCGGAGGCGGAAATGGAGAGTCCCGGCGGTGCGGGTTGGAGATATGAGTGGGCGCGAGGACGGCGAGAGCGATGGGGCGACGGGCAGCAGAGATTTGGAACCGTGGAAGGAAATGTTAAGGGTGAATGAGGGTAATGGGCTATGCACGAGCATGAAGAGGTCGAGATTCGGGAGGGCGGGGTGTGAGTGCGGAATGGATTTGGACGATTTGCACGGAGGCATGGACGGATGGATGGGCACTGGGCAATGGCGGTGGTGTCGTGTGGATGAGGGGTGTGCTGGGGAGGTTTTCGTTGGCTCGCGTTTGGCTTGTGGTGGCGTGGCGGCGGCGCGTTGAAAAGATTCCTCCCTAATGAAATGCGGCTCGACCAGGTGAACACATTAGCGCCTCCAGGCTCGTGCCGAACGCATGGCTCTGGTTCGACAGGCTTGCGGGAGAAGCGCGGACCTGAAGCTTCAGCGAAGCCCTCGAGCACAGTTCCAGGCACCCGCCAAGTACAAAATGCTAGCCAAGTGATTCGTTATTGCATAGTTTTGATCATGGCAATCCGTACAAACAGCCAAAGTACAAAATGCTTCAGCTTACAATGCTGCTAGATGTTTCGGTAGGAGTAAAGAGTGAGTATCTGTTAGACAAATAGATTGCGAGTACATAGCACATTCTTTTCAACCCACAGGGAGCACCGTTGGAGGAGCATTTGTTCCAGAGTGAAGTAGGGAGTTGCTTATGGTATTTGCTCCTGTTGTTTTATTTACTTATGGTAATTTACTGTAAGCACATAAATTGGTACCGTACAATCAACCAATGGCTAAAGACAAACTAGCATAAACACATGCACGCCTCATGTGGCAGGTCACCAAATGTCTCTTAGATACCTACCCTGCTCTGCTAGACCATCCAGCAATGCTACTGCCTCCTCCTCCGCCATTTTGCCCTGCACCACACCCTCAACCGTGGGCACACACAATGGTTGACACATGCACACACACATGGATGGTTGGATGGATGAGCGCCGAGCAACAGCAGACGCAAAGCACAGAGCGGCAGAGCAGAGAGAGCGGGAGGAACCAAAACTGGTGCAGGGCAGCACAGCAGAGCGGCCACCCACCCACGCACGCACCTGCTCCACTGCAATCTCGAGCAGCGCATGGTGCACGTCCCTAGCCATTGCCTTGGCATCGCCACACACGTACACACTGCCTCCCCCCTGACCCACCACCTGCCACACCCTCTCCGCCTGTGCACCATTGCATGCACACACACACGCACGCACGCACGCACACACGCACGCACGCACGCACGCACGCACGCACGCACGCACGCACGCACGCACGCACGCACGCACGCACGCACGCACGCACGCACGCACGCACGCACGCACGCACGCACGCACGCACACACGCACACGCACACACACACACACACACACACACACACACACACACACACACACACACACACACACACACACACACACACACACACACACACACACACACACACACACACACACAGACACGCACAAACGTTTAGGGAGGAGAAACATGGTGAGGTGATAGGATGGGCATGGTGATGTGGCAACAAGTGAGCGAGCATGCATGGGCGAGCAGGTTCGGACAAACATAGAGTAAAACTGCTACACGCACCTGTCGCTTGAGCAGGTGTTGCACGTAGACCTTGGAGGGCCCGTCGCGGGAGAAGGCCACGTGCAGCGCTGACAGCACGCCGCTCTCCTCGTATGCTGCTAGCTCCTCGCGGTATATGTAGTCCTGCAAGGAGGGGGGACGAGGGGAGGGGGAGGGCGCAGTGTTGTGTTTTGAGTCGACTCGAAACACGACTGTCCTCGTACGCTGCTAGCTCCTCCCAGTAGATGTAGTCCTGCCTGGGGGGAGATGGGGGTGGGACGAGAGGTGGGGAGAAGAGGGTAGAGATTCGGGAGTTTAATAGACGAAGTTGCTGTATATGCACAAAGGATAGCGCAGAAATGTCGCATATGTTAAGCTGAAAGGAACACCTGACGGCGGAATACCTCAATGCTGCACTTCCCATTGTTTCCCGCTTCCTCCCCCACTCCTTCCTTTAACACCTCCCCCACAGCACCCCCCACTGCATGTCCCACTGCCCCCCCCAACTGGCCGGTCTGATTCCCCTCTGCCCTCCCCACCATGCCGCCCGCCCTGGCTGCACCTGGTCGCGGTGGCGGCACCCGAAGAACAGAAGAGCCTCCCCCAGCTGCTGCCCGCCCTTCTGCTGCAATGCTCGGTGCTGCAATGAGAGGGGGGGGGGGAGAAAGGGAAGGAGGGGGAAGGAACATATGAAAAGGGGGGGGTGGAGGCGAGGAGGACGCGGAAGAAGGGCAGAGCGCGATGCTGAGACTTTTCGGCTCCACTCACTGCCACACTGCTAGAGACAGCAGGCAGGTGAGGGGCAGGCGAGAGGAGGGCACAGTGGGCACAGATGCGAGAAAGGGGCAGTGGCACTACAGTGGAAGGGCAGTGGCACTACAGTGGAAGGGCAGTGGCATGGCAGCACCTGCAGGAAGGCCCTGAAGGGTGCGAGGCCGGTGCCGGGGCCGACCATGACGATGGGGCGCGTGGGGTCGGTGGGCGGGCGGAAGTGCGACGAGCGGATGAACGCCGGCAGCAGCACGGGAGATGAGGGGGTGAGAGAGGCGGAGGCGGGGGTGGGCAGGGGGAGGGGGAGGTGGCGGTGCAGGAAGGAGGAGCAGACGCCGTGGTGGATGCGGCCTGCTGGGGTGACGTCCGTCACCACCGCGCACGTTATGTGCAGTGCGCCTGGCGCGTGCCTGGGGGCACAACACAGCGCGCCGGGTGAGGTAGCGACGATGGCAAGTGGCAGCAGGCAGTCAAGCGGGGTGAGCACAAGAGTGCAGGTGTGTGGAGAGAGGGATGTAAGTGGGCACGCTGTGGGAAGTGAGATTGAGATGCAAGACATGCAGAGGAGGAGAAAACACAGGGAAGGATTCTGTTGACGGCAATTGGTGGAGAGAGGATGGAATGATACACGTGGGCCGTGCGGCAGGTTGCATGAAAACACTCAGCAGGGAGGTAACGCATGGAGAGAGGGGCACCTGGGGTGGGAGAGAGGGGCACCTGGGGTGGGAGGAGATGGAGTAGAAGCGGGGCTGCAGGCGAGGCGCAACGGATGCGAGGAAGACAGCGAGGGGCGGGCGCGCGGAGGGGAAGGCCTGCAGCACCTCCAGCAGCGAGCGGTGCGCCGCTGCCACCCACTCTCGGTACTCCGCCTTGCCCCCGTGGCTGGCAAGGTGCTTGAGACGCGCCGCCTCGTCGGGGTGGGAGGCAAAGCGCGCCAACACTGCCAGCGCTGCCTGGTGCAGCGACGCCAGCGCAGCGGGAGGAAGGCGTCAAGGGGAGGAGGGGGGGGGAGAGGGGTCGCGTTAGGCATGAAAAGGGAGGGATGGTGACAGGTGGACAAGGGGGGGGAAGGGCGGGTGGCAGCGTTTGGCAGGGTTGGCAGGAAGCAAGAGCAGGCGGCGGTGATTGAGAGGCGCAATGAGGGCAGGTTGCACGAGAGAAGGGCAGAGCATGGAGGGTACCTTGCGCGGCGAGGAGTGGAGGTCGGGCAGCGAGGCGAGCACGGAGCGGATGGAGTGGCGGCCGGGAGGGGGGGGTGGCAGGGAGGACGAGGGCGACGGCAGGTGCAGGGAGATGACGTCATCCAGTTCCACTCCCAGACACTTGGCCACTGCTGCCACGTCAGCATCGCTGTTCTCAGGAAACACTGCCACGTGGTCGCCCACCTCGTACCTGCATGACACGGCATGGGAAGGCATGGCATGGCAGGAATGTGGGGAGAAGGTATGGGGAAGAGCATGCGGCAGAAATGGGAAAGAAATGTCAAAGTGAGACAAGCAATGAGGGGTGTGGTGCATGGAGCGTGGTGGATGGGAATTGACACATGACATGTAGTTGCATTGGATAATGGTTGCTAGTGATGGCGAGAGCGTACTGCAGGTGGGGGCAGGTTGAGAGGTCGAGCTCCACGTGCAGTGTGGATCGGTCTGAGTTGGACGCCTGCAGCTCCCTCACAACTGCCACCCGCGCCCTGCCATGCCACATAAGACACACACGCCAGCAGGCCAGCAGCAAGAGAGGGACGATTGAGGAGTGAGAGGAGAGAGGAGTGAAGAAGGCAGAGGAATCACTGGGGAAGTGCAATCAGTCAAAGCAAAGCGGTGCCGGAAGGTCGGATGCAAGCAACACACAGCTACGAGTGGTTTGTTTAAGTATGCACTTTTTTGACTTTGCATATAAGCGAGATTGCATGGTTTGGATTGGACGTACAGCTAGGATGATTGGATGGCCCAATGGATTCCCAACTCAGCTTAGTGGCGGGGGGCAGTATTGTTGGTCAAGATCCTAAACCAATCCCTGCTACTTTCTCAGGTTCCATGTCAGCGTGCAACAGCGCGCACCTGCCAATGCTGTGCGAGTGCCACCCCACTGCAGCAATGGCCTCCCCCATGCTCATGTGCTGCTGCTCCTTCTCCCCGCCCTTCACATGCCCCGCCACGCCCTTCACATGCCCCGCCACGCCAGTCACCTCCTTCTCCTCCTCCCCATCATCCATCTTCCCATGCAACTCTCCCTTCATCTCCCCATTCATTGTCCCATTCACCTCCCCATTCACCGTCCCATTCACCTCCCCATTCATCTCCCCCTTCTCCCCAGCAGCCCCTGCCTGCCCCCCCCTGCTGTGGAACTTGACAAGGTACTCCCCCACCTCCTCCTCCTCCTCCTCCCACTCCCCCGCTGTCCCCTCGCCCTGCTGCCCGTCGCCCCCAGCCCCCCGCCCCAGCACGATCGACTCGAAGCCCTTCCACAGCCCTGCCCGCCTGCCGGCCGTGAACATGCGTGGGGTGAGAGGGGTGAAAGGGACGAGAGGGGCGAGAGCGGACGTGGTGGGGTGAGTGGGGGGCAGTAAGGAAAGACATGGGGTGCAGCGGGATGAGGGTGAGGCATGGAGTGCAGGGGGGGTACAGGGGGGGTACAGGGGGGGAGCAGGGAGGGGGAGCAGGGGGGGAGCAGGGGGGGAGCAGGGGGGAGCAGGGGGGGAGCAGGGGCAGGGGGGGAGCAGGGGGGGAGCAGGGGGGGCACTGACCAGGCCTTGAAGTCGTCCTCTATGCACTGGTCGTCGTCCCCCAGCCCCACGTCCGCCACGCGCTGGGCGCCTGCCACCCCATTGCCCCACGTGCATGCATGATGGGAGGATGATGATTGGGGGAGCAGAGAGCAGCGAGGCTGGTGGGGTGGGGAAAGAGGGACTGAAGCAGAGCAATTGCTGGCACGGCACATGAGGAGAAGGGAGCAGCAGTAACAAGGGAGGGCAGGGAGGGCATGGGATAGCAGCGTACCTAGTGCAGCGAGGTGCTTGTCAAGCATCTTGCCCATCTGCACACACACACACACACACACGCACGCACGCACGCACGCACGCACGCACGCACACACGCACGCACACGCACACGCACACGCACACGCACACGCACACGCACACGCACACGCACACGCACACGCACACGCACACGCACACGCACACGCACACACACACACACACACACACACACACACACACACACACACACACACACACACACACACACACACACAGAGCAATGGGGGTGGGCAGGGAAAAGAGAGCATTGGAAGACGAGGCGGTGGGAAGTAAAAAGGTGAAAATGGGGTGGCACGGGTGGGAAGGGAGAAAGGCACGCGAGTGGAGAGGGAGGTGATCGGACGTATGGCGATGACGATGGATGGGGGAAAGGCCACGCGAGCAGTGATGTTGAAGGGAGTGACAGCAAAGCATGATCCGAGTTGACTTTTGAGTCGACTCACAAGTCAACGCGATAGTGGCGTAAAAGGAAGAGACAGCAAAGCAGGATGCTGAACAGCTTCCCGGCGTGTTGGCTGGCATGGCAGCAGAACCCAAGGTGGGGCAAGGTGGGGCAAGGGGGGGCATGACAGTGGCGTACCAGGTTGAAGTGCTCGTACTGCCGATTGCCCAGCCCAAAGACAGCAAAGCGCAGCCCCTCCAGAGGCAAGGGGTTGTCGTCCTGGTGGGAGCAGAGGGGGTGCCGGTGGGACGGATGGGGGCTGATGCATGCAGAGAGGGACGGCAGCAGGAAGAGAGCATTGTGCGGACCAGTGATGAATGCCAACATGCATGCACGACCACATGCATGCACGACCACATGCATGCACGACCACATGCATGCACGACCACATGCATGCACGACCACATGCATGTACGACCACATGCATGCACGACCACATGCATGCACGACCACATGCATACACGACCACATGCATACACGACCACATGCATGCACGACCACATGCATGCACGACCACATGCATGCACGACCACATGCATGCACGACCACATGCATGCACGACCACATGCATACACGACCACATGCATGCACGACCACATGCATGCACGACCACATGCATGCACGACCACATGCATGCATGAGCGGCTTTCAGCGTCTGCAGCGGTGCGTACCTGAGCCTCTGCATCAGCAGCGGCGGCGTGCAGCCACTTGAAGAAGCGCTGCGCATCGTCCGTTGGCTCTCCATCGCCGTAGCTGTGGGCGAGGCAAGGAGGCGACAGGGATAGGGAGCGTGGCTTGAGATGTGGAGCAGAGAGACAGGCGGCTGGCGTGTCTGGCGCTGGGGACGCGAAAGCAGCATGGAGATGAGCTGGCAGCATGGAGATGAGCTGGCAGCATGGAGATGAGCTGGCAGCATGGAGATGAGCTGGCAGCATGGAGATGAGCTGGCAGCATGGAGATGAGCTGGCAGCATGGAGATGAGCTGGCAGCATGGAGATGAGCTGGCAGCATGGAGATGAGCTGGCAGCATGGAGATGAGCTGGCAGCATGGAGATGAGCTGGCAGCATGGAGATGAGCTGGCAGCATGGAGATGAGCTGGCAGCATGGAGATGAGCTGGCAGCATGGAGATGAGCTGGCAGCATGGAGATGAGCTGGCAGCATGGAGATGAGCTGGCAGCATGGAGATGAGCTGGCAGCATGGAGATGAGCTGGCAGCATGGAGATGAGCTGGCAGCATGGAGATGAGGTGGCAGCAGAAAGAAGCGCAGCAGGGCGCAGCGGTGCGCAGAGGAGCAGGGAGTGGAGAAGGGGGCAGCGGCAGCTCACGTGGCGACCAGGAAGAACGCGGCGTGGAAGGCGTTGAGCCTCGCTGTGAAGCCATCGCTGTCCTCCGCTAGATCATCCTGCCATGCACGGCGGGGGGGGGAGGGTGCATGCAGCATGAAGTGTTGACATGGGAGCATGTGAGGCACGTTGACATGCAGTGTGCATGAGTGTGCGGGTGTGCATGAGTGTGCGGGTGTGCACTGTGCGAAAATGAGCCTTGCTACTACTCAGAGGCACAGACGACCACTCGCCCGCCCACAAACGCACCAGGCTGCTGAGCTCCACGGTGCAGTGCGATGCGAAGTGGTGCTGCAGCTCCGACACGAGTGTCTGCAAGGGCGACGAGGGGCATAGGTTGCGGGTGAGGGACGGCGGGAGGGGCAGGAAAGGGCGAGGAGGGAAGGGGAATGGTGAGGCGGCGGGTGGGGAAGGAAAGGGCGAGGAGGGAAGGGGAATGGTGAGGCGGCGGGTGGGGAAGGAAAGGGCGAGGAGGGAAGGGGAATGGTGAGGCGGCGGGTGGGGAAGGAGTGTGTTAAGGCGGCAGGGGGGGTGGTGAGGTGACAGGGAGGGGTTGAGGCGGCAGTTGAGAGAGGGGGGGGGGGAGGGAGAAAAGGTATCCTGCGCAGCCCCGTCGTAGCCCATCCTCTCTTGCCACCGCCTTCCCACCCACCCCATCCAACCGCGCCTCTCATCCGCGCGCCAAGAGAAGCGCGCCAAGAGAAGCGCGCCCGTGGTGCGCGCGGCTCACCCACCTTGGCGAATCCCTCGGACGTGCCCGTCTGCGTGCCGAACAGAATTCCGATCGCCACCTTCCCCTCGTCGCGCTCCGCCTTATCCCCCTCGCCCGTCCGCTCCTCGCCATTCGACGCCGCCACCGCCGCTACATCCTTTGTAGCGAGCGGCTGGTACTTGCTGCCGCCGCCGGGCCCCGCGGCGACTGGTGCTTTGGACAACGAGGCGGCGCGGTGGCGCAGCACGAAGAGCGCGAGCGACGACACGAGCACCGCCAGCGACACGAGCGCCACGAGCGCCGGCGTGGGGCCGGCGGCGAGCGCGGCCGTGGCGTCGGGAGCGGCGGCGTGCAGCGACTCCGCCAGGTGGTCCGCCGCCATCGCCGCTGCGCTGCCGTCGCCGATCATGCTGACGCGGCGACTATGCTGACACGGCGACTATGCTGACGCGGCGACTATGCTGACACAACGACTGTGTTGTCAGCTCAATCACGCTATTAGAGCTATTACGCTGTCAGGTAGACTGATAATGCCAGAGCGACTACGCTGTTCGAGCGAATACGGCAGAGACCTGGAGGCTACGATGCAGCACAGCGGGAGAAAGGTTCCCGGCTCGCCAGGACTTGTGAGGTGAGACGCGCAGGCGAGCAGGAAGTGCAGTCTCGAGATTCGTGGAAAGGATCTGCGATGGGAGGAGGAATTGGCAAGTGACGTCAGTACACCGGGAGGTGAAGGCTCGTGTCATGTGCGATGGTGGTGTGCGAGTGAGTGCGACCCCCCCCCGACCGCGTCTGTGCCTGTCACGACTCACGACAAGTCACGACTCACAACAAGCTATGGACGTTGAGTGCGAGAGTGCTGGTCGCTCGGGGTCGCACGAGATGGTGATTTCGACCTGGCGACCGCTGCTGTGCTGTCGGCGAACCAACTGTAGCGACTAGAGCGTGCATCTCCACCGCACAACTGACTACACGTCAGACGTCACTTCCAACACATGCGGGGTGACACCGATGCTGGTTACGAGGATGACCAATGCGTTATTCGATTTTAGCCTTCTACACGTCGTGCAATATGATGTTAAGTTCCTTGGCCAACATCTAAAACGGAGTTGACCAATCTATGATGAAACACGGTGAAAGACTTGATTGAAGCAAGTGGACGTGCTTTGCACGAAGAAGTAAGCCATAATTGGTGATATTGGCGACTATGGACCTATGGTTCTCAAATAGCCTCCAGCTTATAGCTTCCAGCCTACTGGTTCTATAATTAACGCTTTTAGGAAAAAAAAGGTGAAATGCACGAAGTGCACGGAAGCCCGTGGCAGAACATTTGCAAGCACCAGCACGAAAGTGACCCGTCAAAAGCAGCCTCTTGTATGATGGTTCAGCCCGCGAATCTGTTCTGCGATCTGTGCTCCCTCCAAGTTGCGCTGCGACCACATATAAACATACCGTAGGAGCGAATGACTTCGTCTGGTGAATAGCACTCCATTTCCGCCCCCCCCTAGCACTGGCTTACCACCGCGAGGGTGACGCTTACGTCGGTAGATGGTAGAGCAGCTGTGAACAACCGGAACATCCTTGCCGTCAGTCCCCGTCCAGTCCGATCAACGGCCACGATGAGCCAGGAGCTGCGTGCAATGCGGCGGTTGCAGCAGCAGCTGCAGCTGCGCGGGGTGACGGTGGATCGCGCGGCTTTACAGAGCGTGGCGGAGTACGTGGTGGAGGCGGGGTGCAGCGAGCAGCGCGCCGTCGACGACCTGCTCCGCGGCATCACCGCGCTCGAACGTACGCCGCTCAATGCGCGGGCCAGCTAGCGGGGAATGGGGATCAGTGCGGGTAGGGTGCGGGTTTTTAAGCGTGTGGGTGTAGTCTGCGAGAGGCACGTAGTTACGAAAGTGAGTGGCGCGGGAGAGGCGGTGGATGGCCCATGTGCAGTTTGCGGAGCGTGTGGAGCGGCAGGGCGCGCATGTGCTTGGAGGCGTGTCTCGCCATGCGCGACGGGTCCCGTGCCTCGTGCGACGTGCGTGAGCGATGGGGTCCAACGGATGCCAGTGCGCTGCATGGGCTGGCGTGCCGTGGATAGGGAGGGCCAGCCGCGAGGGCCAGGAGCCTGGATCGGGAGAGAGGGCGAGGCTTATTAGTCAATCCCTGATCCCACGCCTGTCGCCCACTTCCCCTTTCCTCTCTCGCCTCCCCCCATTCCCTCTGTCCTCGCCCGTGGCCCGTGCCCCCCATGGCAGTGGGCGTGCAGGTGGTGTCGCGCGAAGTGGTGCGCCAGGTCCTTCTGCAGCCCCTCCGCGCGCGCTCTCGCGGGCCCCCCGCTGATGGGGGGGGACCTGCAGGCGGAAGCAGCCGCGGCGAGCGCGCAGGGGATGGCGCGCGGCCAGATGCGCTGGGGGGCGTGGGGAGGAACGGGGGAGCGGGGGAGGTGATGGAGGGGGGGCGGGGGGAGGCTGGGGAGGGGTGGATGCGCGAGTGGCGCGCGGTGGTGGTGATTGACGCCTTCACCATGCCGCGCGTGGACTACGACCCCCTCCGCAAACACTTCTCCAGGTGCCCCCTCCCTGCCCCTCTGCAAACACTTGTCCAGGTGCCCCCTCCCTGCTTTCCCCGCCCCCAAGCTGACCGTGCGTGTGTGGTGGCCGTGGTTGAGTTGGGCGTGTGAGGATGCGAGGGTAAGGGGCGGTTTGAGTGGATGTGGCCGTGGGAGGAGGGAGGACGTGAAGGGCGCAAATTTATTGATCGGAATGCCATTCTTCCTCTCCTCCTCATCCCCTTCCCCTTCTCCCCACTCCCGTTCATGCCTTCTCACTCCTTTCCCATCACCCGCTGTCTCTTCCCGACTCCGCCCATCAACCCCTCCCCCACACTCACCTTGCTCCTGTGGTCACACTCACCTTGCTCCTGTGGTCACACTCACCTTGCTCCTGTGCTCACACTCACCTTGCTCCTGTGCTCACACTCACCTTGCTCCTGTGCTCACACTCACCTTGCTCCTGTGCTCACACTCACCTTGCTCCTGTGCTCACACTCACCTTGCTCCTGTGCTCACACTCACCTTGCTCCTGTGCTCACACTCACCTTGCTCCTGTGCTCACACTCACCTTGCTCCTGTGGTCACACTCACCTTGCTCCTGTGCTCACACTCACCTTGCTCCTGTGCTCACACTCACCTTGCTCCTGTGGTCACACTCACCTTGCTCCTGTGCTCACACTCACCTTGCTCCTGTGCTCACACTCACCTTGCTCCTGTGCTCACACTCACCTTGCTCCTGTGCTCACACTCACCTTGCTCCTGTGCTCACACTCACCTTGCTCCTGTGCTCACACTCACCTTGCTCCTGTGCTCACACTCACCTTGCTCCTGTGCTCACACTCACCTTGCTCCTGTGGTCACACTCACCTTGCTCCTGTGCTCACACTCACCTTGCTCCTGTGCTCACACTCACCTTGCTCCTGTGCTCACACTCACCTTGCTCCTGTGCTCACACTCACCTTGCTCCTGTGCTCACACTCACCTTGCTCCTGTGCTCACACTCACCTTGCTCCTGTGCTCACACTCACCTTGCTCCTGTGCTCACACTCACCTTGCTCCTGTGCTCACACTCACCTTGCTCCTGTGCTCACACTCACCTTGCTCCTGTGCTCACACTCACCTTGCTCCTGTGCTCACACTCACCTTGCTCCTGTGCTCACACTCACCTTGCTCCTGTGCTCACACTCACCTTGCTCCTGTGCTCACACTCACCTTGCTCCTGTGCTCACACTCACCTTGCTCCTGTGCTCACACTCACCTTGCTCCTGTGCTCACACTCACCTTGCTCCTGTGCTCACACTCACCTTGCTCCTGTGCTCACACTCACCTTGCTCCTGTGCTCACACTCACCTTGCTCCTGTGCTCACACTCACCTTGCTCCTGTGCTCACACTCACCTTGCTCCTGTGCTCACACTCACCTTGCTCCTGTGCTCACACTCACCTTGCTCCTGTGGTCACACTCACCTTGCTCCTGTGCTCACACTCACCTTGCTCCTGTGCTCACACTCACCTTGCTCCTGTGCTCACACTCACCTTGCTCCTGTGGTCACACTCACCTTGCTCCTGTGCTCACACTCACCTTGCTCCTGTGCTCACACTCACCTTGCTCCTGTGGTCACACTCACCTTGCTCCTGTGTGTGAGAATAATAGGTTGAAGAGAAGTTGATGATTGAATTGAGGAGATTGGGGGTTTACATAGGGAGTGGGTTGGATCCTAGCCTAGGTGAGCATTATTGGACCCCAACCAAGAAGTTGGGTTGGGGAATTATTGGTGGGGTCCAATAATGTTGGCCAAGTTGGAGTTGGGCCAACATTATTGGAGTGAACCAATAATTCTACCCAACCCAACCTTTGGGGTCCAATAATTGGACCAAGGTTGGGTTTCCAACCTACAAACTGGGTGACCCCTGTTTGTACACCCAAACTGAGTTTGGGTGCTTAACTCTAGCCTAACCTATAACATCTATGCAGGTTACACAAGAAGATAGATTCTAACACAACCCCTTAACCTGCAGAGATGTGGAAAGGCTTGAGTGAAGCAACCCCTGAATCAAGGCGCGCCTGGGGGAGCGAGGCCGATGAGGCGGAGAAGAGCAGAGTGCGCAGGGCGAAGGAGTGCTTTGGTGAAGATATCTGCCAAGTTGGCTTCAGCGGCGATCTTACGAACGGCAATGAGATTCTGTTGGACGAGTTCACGGATGAAGAAATAGCGGAGCTCAATGTGTTTGGAGCGACCGTGGAACACGGGGTCTTGGGTGAGATGGATGGTGCTGGCATTGTCACACCAGAGCGTGGGGCAGCGCTGGGGAACACCAAGCTCAGCCAGGAGGAAGCAGAGCCAGCGGGACTCCTGGGCGGCCATGGTGCCAGCATAGAGCTCAGCTTCACAGGAGGAGAGGGCGATGGCAGAGGAGCGGGTAGAGCGCCAGCTGATGAGGCCGCTGCCGAGGGTGAAGCCATAGCCTTGGGAGGAGCGGCGGTCTGGCTGGCAGTCTGCCCAGGAGGAGTCGCTGAAGCCAGAGAGAAGGGGGGGGGGGAAGATCCACCCAGCGTGAGAGCGTGGTCTCTGGTGCCACGGAGATAGCGGAGGACCCGCTTGGCGGCAGTCCAGTGTTCCTCAGTGTGGCGGCCGGGGCCGACGAACCGAGCAAGGACACTGACAGGGTAGGCGAGGTCGGGACGAGTGCACATCATCGCGTACATCAGCGACCCAACAAGCTCGGCGTAGGGCCGGGAGGAGGTGGAGGGGGAGGTGGGTGGCGCAAGCTGGTGGCCGAAGGGGAGAGGGGTGGAGACCGGTTTGGCTTGTGCCATCTCGAACTTCTCCAGGACCTGGCCGATGTAGTGGGACTGGGAGAGGGTGATGGTGCGGGCGGATCGATCACGGGTGATAGCCATGCCGAGGTAGTTCTGAAGCGGACCAAGGTCCTTGCACTTGAGACGTTCCTGAAGTGACCGCTTCACATGATCCATGTCAGCCCTGGTGTCGGCGAGCAGGATCATGTCGTCGACGTAGACGGAGATGAAGAAGCGACTGGGGGAGGAGCGGATGAAGAGGCTGGCATCGGAGTGGGAGGGGGAGAAGCCAAGGGACTGGAGAGTAGCAGACAGCTTCGCATGCCATTCTCGTGGTGCCTGCTTCAGGCCGTAAACCGGGCGCTTTAGTTGCCAGACGGTGTTTTCGGGGAAAGCCGCATGAAACCCAGGAGGTCGGCGGAGGAAGATGCGCTCGTGCAGTTCGCCTTGCAGGAACGCGTTGGAGACGTCCATGGAGTCAATCTCCATGTCGTCACGCGCACCGATGTCCATAAGGGTGCGTAGGGTGGCTTGCCTGAGGGTGGGGGCAAATGTGAACCAGTAGTCCTCAGCCCAGGTCTGGGTGAACCCCTTGGCAACATAGCGGGCTTTGTAGACTGGCTCCTCTCCCGGCAGCTGTTTGACTCGAAAGATCCACTTGCCCTCGACAAGGTTGGCGTCAGGGGGAAGGGGAACGTCGATAAAGGAGTCGTTGCGAATGAAAGCCTCACACTCCAGGAAGATAGCGGCTAACCACTTGTCAGCGTCAGGGCAGGTGATAGCCTCCTGGAAGGTGGTGGGGACGAAGATGGTGGGAGCGGAGATCGCGCTAAGGATCAGAGCGCCGAAGAGGTCAGGGTAAAGTGTGAAGATAGAGGGAGTCTGAAGCCAATCCCATGGCTGACCTCGCCTCCGTTGAACAGTGGATCATAGACACCGAAGTCAAACTTCGCACCCCCGTCGTCAACCTCGCCTCCTCCCAACCCTCCAATAATGTTGGCCAAGTTGGAGTTGGGCCAACATTATTGGAGTGAACCAATAATTCTACCCAACCCAACCTTTGGGGTCCAATAATTGGACCAAGGTTGGGTTTCCAACCTACAAACTGGGTGACCCCTGTTTGTACACCCAAACTGAGTTTGGGTGCTTAACTCTAGCCTAACCTATAACATCTATGCAGGTTACACAAGAAGATAGATTCTAACACTGTGCTCACACTCACCTTGCTCCTGCGCTCACACTCACCTTGCTCCTGTGCTCACACGGCACCGCGTGGCCAATGCCCGCCACACTTGCTGCTCCTGCTCAACCACCTTCACTTGCAGCCTCATACCCTTCTCCACCACCATGCACCGCACTGCTGCACGACAGCTCCCTTCCTTATTCTTTGTTTTTGAAACTGTCCTTCATCCCACGTGGCCGCCATCCCCTGTCTTCCGCCTCGCCCTCAACCCCACGTGCACTACATGCATGCATGCAGGCACCGAGGGCCGCTGTCACTGGCGGGTGCGCCGAGCAGCAAGGCGGACGTGCTGCGGCGCCGCCTGCACCTGCTGCTCGCGCGCACTGCCCGCCACCGCCGCTTCGCCGTGCCGCTGCTGCCTCTGGGCTCCGCGCAGCAGCAGCAGGAGCAGTACACCGAGGTGCCATGCGGTGCAGCACGGGCAGGGCGCGCATGGGGAAGAGGGGTTGGTGCGCGTGGGGCTGTTTGGGGGAAAAGGGAGGGAGCAAGTGGTTGAAGTCTTTCCAGTGTCGTTGCCCCCCCTCCCCCCCCCCTCTGTTCTCCATGCTCTGATGCGTCCTCTCTATTCTTCACAAGTCGACACCCATGCGCTTGCTTCTCCACTTCCTCCTTTCCAACTCTCCTTTTCCTCTTTCTAGCGCTCTCCCTCCCTTTCAAACCACCCTTTTCTCCCGCCCCCTCCCTGTCCACCGTTCCTCGCCCTTAGTGCAGCTGACGCCAGTGCAAGCGCTGGTGGGCGGCACAGCGGCATCACAGCAGAGGCGGCATCACGTGGTGGGCGTGGTGGCACAGCTGGAGGACGGCCGCTTCTTCCTTGAAGACCTCTCCGCCTCGCTGCCCCTAGACCTCTCCCATGCCATATCCGCCCTCCCCTCCCGCACCTCTCCCACTCCCGCTACAATCACTGCCCAATCTCACTGCCTCACTCTCAACCTCGCTACACATGACCACTCACACCAAGCACATGATCCCCATCATCTGTTTTCCTTGACCTGGCTTCCACCTGTATCCCCTCTCTCCCTCCCTGTCCCTCTGTCTCTCCCATCGTCTTTCCTCTTTCCTCGCCTATTTCGGTGCCTCCCTGTGAACCCATGTTGACCACCCCCTCCGTGTCACCGCGCGTGTGCCGCACCGCACTGCACCGCATCGCCGGGCTACTTCACCGAGAATTCCGTCGTCATTGCCTCGGGCCAACTCACTCCCTCTGGCTGCTTCAACGTGTGTGCTCTCTCCCTCTCTCTCCCGCCCCTTTCCCCATTCCCCCTCCCGTAATTCTTTCTCTCCCTCCCACTTCTCCCTTCTCTCTACCACATCTCCTCCTCCCGTTCCATCCTTGCATGATGTAACATCTTCAGTGGCACCCCACACCACCACATCCCACGCCACTACATCCCACGCCACTACATCCCACTCCATCGCAGACCACATCGCGAGATCAGAACACATCCCAACCCTAAATCATAAACCGCGTTTTATCCGAGCCATCAAACGTCGACCCTCCTGCGCCCTACTTGTTGCCTGTCCCCCACCAGGTGTCATCACTGGAGTTCCCCCCGGTGGAGCCACGGGACGAGGCGCTGTCACTGGTGGAGGGGCTGGACCTGTTTGGCGCCGGGCCCATCGACGCCCACCGCTACGTGCGTGGCCCTCCTCCCCCCGTCTCGTAGCATGCTTCCCTGTGTGTGTCTCAGCATGGGTATGTGCATGTGAGGATGGATGCCTGTGCAACACTAAGCCTGCAAGTGGGAGCATGCAAGCTTGCAGTCTTGCTCACTCCTCTGCCATCAAGTCTCATGACCCTCAAACCGCTTCTCCACCCATTCTTCCATCTCCTTCCAGTGCTCTTATCTCGTCATCACGCTCCCCACTTCCCTCCTTTGTACATCGCACCTCTCCCCGAGCCCCCCGCGCATGAGCAGGCGTGGGTACAGCAGCGAGAGGCGGAGGCAGTGGAGGAGGGGCACATGTTCATCATCATGGCGGACATTGCCCTGCATGATCCCCAGGTCACTCCTCACTCCCCACTCCTCACTCCTCACTCCTCACTCCATAGTCGTGGCGCACAGTGCCCTGCACCACCCGCAGGTCACTCCGCAATCACACTTGTCTGAGATACACTATATTGTAACACGATGTGGTACTTCTTAGCTGGAGTTTAACTTTCTCACTTCTTAATTTCTCACCTCCCTCCCATTCACCCCAGATGTGCCCTTTGCTCTCTCCCCTGCACCTCCTCTGCGTGTTCGTGTGCTCGTGTGTTCGTGTGCTCGTGTGCTCGTGTGCCCGCCAGACCCTATCGCGCCTGGCCACGGTGCTGGGAGCATATGACGCCCTGGACCACCCGCCGCGCCTCTTTCTGCTCATTGGGGACTTCTGCTCCCCGCCCACCGCCCTCGCTTCCCCACACCTGCACGCTCACAGGTGCCTGCTGCCTCTGCTGCCTTTACTTGCTTCTCTCGTATAAGCAGCTCCTTGCACACGGCCATTTATTCTTCCGTGCATTAAGCATCGCTCTGCTCTCCCTTCTCTTCCTTCTTCCCTTCACAACTCACGCCCCTTCTTACCCCCCCACCGGGCCCACCCTTAATGCCCCCAACACCAACCATTCCTGCACCGGTCCTTCCCTCTTTTCACCCGCTCCTGCTTCCCCGCCCAGGGAGGCCTTCTCACAGCTGGCGAGGGTGATAGGCGCGCACCGCCGCCTCAAGGACAAGTCGCTCTTCGTCTTCGTGCCCGGCCAGGCCGACCCAGGTCACCTTCTTCCCTCTCCTGCTTCCCTTGCCATCTCGTGCCCTCGCCTGTCTTCTCCTCCCCAAGGGGCCTGTCCAGTCACATGAGAAGTTGCTTTGTGAAGGCACATAGGGGCATTCTAGTCGCGACTCAAGGACTTTTTGCGAGAGTGCCACAATTGATGATTTTGAGGAGAACACCCCGGAGCAGCCAGCCCGGAGCAGAGCAGCCAGCCCGGAGCAGAGCAGCCAGCCCGGAGCAGCCCCGCTGTGCAGTGCACTGTAAGGGCGTCACACTTGCTGGTTGAACCAAGTAACACAACACACCATGCCACACCACCATCGTTCTGCTCCCTTCCCCACGCTGCTCCACTTGCCCGTGCCCCTACCCCCGTGTGTCTGCCCACAGGCCCATGCGCGGTGCTGCCACGGCCCTCGCTGCCGCGCTTCTTCACAGAACCCATCACCCACGCCCTCCCCTCTGCTCTCTTCTCCTCCAACCCTTCCCGGTGCGCCCCTGATTCCCCCCTTGTGCTCTCTCCCCACCTCCTCTCACTTCCGTCCCTTCGTTTTATCACACCTTATGGTTTCTCTTTCACTCCCACTGGTTTCTCTTTCACTCCCACTGGTTTCTCTTTCACACATGAATATAGGACACACGCTCACTCGGCGCGCGGGGACGTGCCTTTCTCTGTAATCATCCCCATTACTTCCTCTCTGCCTGTCCTTCTTTTACTGCTGGCTCGAATCAAACACATCCCCTCGCTCGCAATTTGCCAAATTTGATTTCTCCTCCCTCTCTGAGGTTTCTCATTCTCTCCTGGTGCTCCCCTCCCCGCCCCCTCTCCCTCCCTCCCTCCCTCCTTCCCTCCCTCCCTCCCTCTTTCCCTCCCTCCCTCCCTCCCTCCCTCCCTCCCTCCCTCCCTCCCTCCCTCCCTCCCTCCCTCCCTCTCTCCCTCCCTCCCCTCCTCCCTCTCTCCCTCCCTTCCTCCCCTCCTCCCTCTCTCCCTCCCTCCCCTCCTCCCTCTCTCCCTCCCTCCCTTCCTCCCTCTCTCCCTCCCTCCCTTCCTCCCTCTCTCCCTCCCTCCCCTCCTCCCTCTCTCCCTCCCTCCCCTCCTCCCTCTCTCCCTCCCACTCCCCCCGCCGCCATCTTGAAACCCTCACGGCAGCCTCAAGTTCTATTCGCAGGAGCTGGTGGTGCTCAGGGCGGACCTGCAGCGCCGCATGCAGCGCTGTGCCGTGCTGCCGCCACTCAAAGACACCGACCCCTTCACCCATGTCAGTCACACGCCCCCTCTCATGCCCGCTCCTCTTGCCATGGCCTAGCCCTGCTCCCGTTGGAAGGTCACGAGTCTAGGACTTTCACCTGCGCGTATTGCGCTTCAAGAAGGTGCCCTCCCTCTTATATTTGCTCGAGCCAGCCGCAGCTGCCCTTCCCTGCCTTCTCCTCTTCCCTGCCTTCTCCTCTTCCCTGCCTTCTCTTCCCTGCCCTCGCCCTGTGCACTGCCCTCGCCCTGTGCACTGCCCTCGCCCTGTGCACTGCATGCGCATCCCTGCCCTCGCCCTGTGCACTGCATGCGCATCCCTGCCCTCGCCCGGTGCACTGCATGCGCATCCCTGCCCTCGCCCGGTGCACTGCATGCGCATCCCTGCCCTCGCCCGGTGCACTGCATGCGCATCCCTGCCCTCACCCGGTGCACTGCATGCGCATCCCTGCCCTCGCCCTGTGCACTGCCCTCGCCCTGTGCACTGCATGCGCATCCCTGCCTGTGTGCCGCTGTGCCCCCCGGGCGGCAGGTGGCGACCACGGTGGTGCACCAGGCGCATCTGAGCCCACTGCCCCTTGCCGCCCAGCCTGTGTTCTGGGACTATGACTTCACTCTGCATCTCTTCCCCGCACCCCACGTGGTATGCTGGCGCCTCATGTGATCTATTGCTTCATTCCCTCCTCTTTGAATTGTTGTCATATTTGATTTGCCACTGGCAGTCTCGTTCGGTCTTGTGTTACTGTGCTGCTATCTGCACTCTATCCCCTTCTCCACATAACTCGTCAACCCACAAGCATACCATGCTTTACCATTCATTCTTGATCATTCTTGTAACGGTCATTTAGACGCATTCAGGATCTCTGATCTGTCGCCACCCATCCAGCTTTGGCACCTTCGCCAGACGCCCTGCTCTGCCCCCTCAATCACACTCCCATGTGGGACACACTCCCTTGTCTCCCATTCCATCCTGCCAGCTGATTCTGGCAGACTCATCAGCGCAGAGCAGCGCTGTGGTGAATGACGTCATCTGCATCAACCCCGGCTCCTTCTCCCTCGATGGCACCTTCACTGCGTACTACCCAGCCTCACGCACTGTGGAGCACTGCAATGTGTGATGCATTCGCATTCGCATTCGCTAGAGTTCTGTACCAAGTTTACTCGGGTGGTCTGATGCTGCAATGCACAAGAACTTCTCAATTCAGAAGACCGCAACCCTAAATCTAACCCCGGGAACAAACATTTGGGTTTTGTTCAAGGACCCAGCAGGCACATGAAGGCAGATGTTCATTTATGGGGGAAGGGTGGGGGTTCAATTATGGGGAGGGAGGGGTTGTAACTTGTAAGCTTGCATATACGGTTAGGTGTTACGGTACTGGTAAATAATGACATACCGGTACGTACAAAAACACTTGTATTCTGTCTTGAGCTGAAACAGCTCCGTACTGCGTGTGGAGTTCAATCCACACCACATCATTCAGGCACAGGTTGACTCACCACCACAAGCTGAATCACAATTTTAACCTCTAGGGTGGCGCGAGCCACAAGCTCACAGATGGGGGAGAGTGCTTACAACAACTCTTCCACACACGTCATTACCGGGATGTCACACCACTTCCCAGAAGAAATATGCTCACTTCTATAACTCTGTAATTTACACACTTGACCACCTAGGAGAATGGTGTGGCATGGTGGTGCTAGGTGGCAGGGCATGGCATGGTTGAATGGCATGGCGAACAGCAGCTCTCTCATGGCGGGTAGCAGCTCACTCACATGGCGGGCAGCAGGACAGGCAGGTAGCGCCTTGCAGTGCACCGCCCCCGCTGCCCACCGACGCCGCTGGAGGTGGGGCAGGGGGGGGAAAGGGGGGAACGAAGAGGGGGGTGAAGGAAAAGGGTTGTGGTGGGCAAGAGGTTGTGGTGGGGGGCGGGGGGCAAAAGCAGCGGCAAGAGAAAGAATCCTTGCAGGTGTCACCGCACTGCACCTTGTTGGAAACAATGAATCTTAAACGCCTCTGTCGTGTCGAAACACTATGGCACAAGCGAAACGAAGTATATCGAAGCACCGGCGAGTCAACCCTCGGAGGTTGAAAGTACCGGTAACTGTTGGAGGTTACGCGAAAGTCAAAGGTCAGCGACCTTTGACCTGACAAGTACAGCGCGACAGCAAGGACACACAACTGACTCGCTACAGAGCAGTTGCCCGAGTCGTCACTGTATCGAACCGCAACAGCAACAATATAGTAGTTATAACTATGTCTCTCTCCTCATATTCCTTGTACTCTTATATAAATGCTTGTATCTCTTTGTTTGAGTTAACTCACTTTGCCCTCACATACTAGCGCAAGGTGGTTCAACCTCTTCATTAAACGCTTCCGCTATTACATTGTTCCTACCCAGAGTTCACCCCTGCAAAGATCCTAAGGGCTTTTTCTCAGCCCAACATGGTATGAGAGCTAACAGGGGGAATTCAACTACTATCAAGTCACCTACAACATCAGAAGACATGGCAACCCAGAAAGAAAGGAGCTCTTCTAACGACTCCCACGGAACTACCCCTACTCCACCTCCTGCCTCTGGCCTACAGACAGAGGAGGGCACGGCAACAAGACCAGCAGCATCTTCAACAAGTCAACCTGCCAGCTTCGACCAGAGCATGATGGAGAAGTTCTTCTCCTTCATGTCGTTTTACGAGCAACACCAGCAGTCAGTGCCTGCGCAATCGAACAACAGCAACAACAACAACGATGTGACTCCACCCATGAGCCTTGACGGGTCGTCATACGCGCGCGGAAATCAACAGCAACAGCCTACCTTTGCTCCGTACGAGCGCGGGTCCATCAGCCCCTCACCTGGACAAGAGAAACCACTGGACGCGTTACAAGTCCAATCGCAGTTCGCACACGTTCTGAAACTGCAGACGTCAAGACCTTTCGACGGAAAGGACTTCTTCACCTGGTCGTTCGAATTCGAGTTGATGATGGAAGGCGCGCAGATACTTGGCTTCTTCGACGGGTCCCTGCCATACCCAACAAACGGCACACAGTACGAGAAGCAGCAGTACACTTATCAGTCAATGATGGCGTACACGATTCTACTGAGAAACATCACACCGACTCAGCAGCAGAATATACGGTCTTACCGGGGTTACGGCAACTCCGCGGAGCTCGCATACAGCCACTTGAAGAACCTGTATCAAGCAACAGACAGCGTCAACCAAAGTCGGTTAATGGCGCAATTGACGACAGTCGAAATGAAACCAGGCGAGAAGGGAATGGCGTATATCAGCCGATGTCGCGAGCTGCGCGACAAGCTTCTTCGATGCGGAGGGTCAATATCTGAAGACGCCTTCGTGACAGTCATCATCGGCGGCCTCGGTCCTCAATGGCGCGCCACAAAGGCCATTCTCCGAGCCCACGGAAGAATCTCCGAAGCAGCGCTCTGCGCCGAAATCCACGCCGAGCAGCAAGACATGGACCTGCAAGAAGAACGACACAAGAGAAAAACATCAGTACCGGAATTCGCGTTCCACACTCAGCGACGGTATAACAACAACAACCGACAACAACCGAAGCCCGTACCTCCGTTCTGCCACATCTGTAAAACATCAGGGCACCCACGCACGCACTGCCCAAATCGACAACAGTCAACACCACCACAATGACAGCTTCGACCTTCAAGCAGCCAAGTTGCCTCAACACAAGCGAATCCCACGACCCAGATTCAAGCTTCAACAACATCAACGGGACAACCTGCACAAGGAGCAAGAAACATCGTCAGTTGCATGGCAAGACTGACCGACTCCTGCGTCACTGAATCACCGCCACATTACTCACCGGAAGAACAGCTCGACAACAGTACGCCCCGCCACGAATCGCTTCAGCCGAACCCGACATACGCAGCCATCGCCCAAAGCGAGCCATCCGGGAAGGACACGTGGTTCTTGGACAGCTGCTGCGGACAGCACATGTGCTTTTCAGGACGTTTCGTGCAGCGAGAGTATCAACTCCAACGAGAAGTAGTCATCACCGTCGCCAACAATCAGAACCTGCGCACACGACGACAAGGCGTGGTACAACTTCAGTCACGAGAGACAAATGCCATTCTATTGCAGATGTCCAAGGTTTTAATCGCAGAAGGCCTCGGCTACAACTTACTGAGCGTCAGTCAGTTGATGGCGAAAGGTATTCACCTTGAAGCAGACAGCACCACCCAGGAGTTCAAACTGTACCACGGGAAGGGCGGCCTCTACATCGGAAAGGCGATCCTCAAGAACAACGTCTTCGTTCTTGATTTTGTTCCAGACCTCAGCACAGCAGACAGCGATGGCATCGTCACTTTCACCTCCTGGACGCACCCTCCAGACCTTGATCCAGACTTCAGTCCAGAAGGCTTCTGGTATTCACACACCATACCTGAAGCAGAAAGAACAAGGGCGTTAGCAACAATACAACATTCGACAGCAGCAGAGACAACTTCGGCAGCAGAGACAACATCGGCAGCAGCAGAGACAACATCGACAGCAGCAGAGACAACATCGACAGCAGAAGAAACGACATCGAATGGCAGCAGCAGAGACAACGACAGCAGCAGCGGCAACATCGACACCAATCGCTGGTCCTTCAACGGCACCAATCCTCATCGACGATTCGCCACCGACACCTGCACAGCAGTAAAACCCGGCACCACGAGAAGTCCATCGAAGCGCCAACGTCACTGCCGGCTTCTACTCCAACTCCGATCTGTATCGACGATCACCCGGACATCGCGCTGACGAAAGCACCTGGCACGCAAGGATGGGACACCCAAGCAACACAGTGTTAAATAATACGATAGGGGCAGGAGTGCTCGATAAAGACTCACTGCTCCTAACCGACGAGAGAGAACTTCAACGAGCACGAGGGACATGCTTCACCTGTCCTGAAGCCGACTTACCGCATCAACCGTTCACATCTCACCACAACCCCAGCGCTCCGGTTTACGCGCCTCTTGAAAAAGTGTACAGCGACATCCTGTACAACCGCGCCCCCGGACAAAACACATACAACTACACCATCACGTTCATCGACGCAGCGACGCACGTCTGGCATCTCAACCGTTGGCTGAGCAGGGACATGGCCTTCGAAGCCTTCGTCGCGTGGCTCCCCGTAGCAGAAAGGGAATCGGGCGTCAAGTTAAAGAATTTTTCAATCAGACGGGGGAGGAGAATACACCTCACAAAGGTTCAAGCAGTACTTGGCGGAAAGAGGAATCAAGAGACTCATCTCCCTTCCCTACGCTCACCAACAGCAAGGCGTAGCAGAAAGGACGAACAGGACTCTATAGATTACCATGCGCAAACTGCTACGTGGCATGCGGCTACCCACCCACCAGTGGCCTGAGGCGATGGACCACGCTGTCATGCTGCACAACTTGCTATCTTCGTCGTCACTCCCGAACAACGCATCACCGCACCTGCTGTGGACAGGAAAGTTGGGCAGCACAAAAATGTTAAGAGTTTTCCGCTGCATGGTACAGTATCGACCCCCAGCTGCACGAGCTGGCCGATTCTCCCAACGCGCACAGTGGGGACTACACCTGGGCATCGAAAAACATTACAACGCATGGAAGATTTTTTACATCGAGACAAAAGAAACAGTGGCAGCACGTGATGTGATTTTCTACGAGCGACTCACACTTCCGACACACCTTGCCAACTTGGAAGAAAACCGAGACCCCACAGGTGGATTTCGTGGCGATCGAGCCTTCGCCTCGGCAGCAGACGAAGCTGACTGGGACGAGCAGAACGTGGATGAAGCCTCGGAGGAAGCTGGACCTCTCCCTTACTGCTCCGTCAATGTCCCAATGGATGACGAAAATCCTCGCGACAGCACCAACGCCGAAGCATATTACCACTTCGCCGACAACAGTTACGCTACACCTGCAAGAGTCAACACCAACGAAGCAGAACGCATAGGGCCCAACTTCATACCTGACCCAGAAGCAGGTGACGAAGCAGCTTATCCCGAGGACACAACACTCCCCCGCTACACACAGAGTGGACTCCAGATACTTGGGCTCGTCACCGCAGTCCACGGCGCAGCCATTCCTAAGGAGCCTGCAACAGTTCAGCAGGCTCT